GATGACTTAGCTTTGGCATGCGACTGCAGATAAACTTTGAGGTCAAATCAACCGTAAGCGATTCACGATTTTTCTCTGAAAACAGTACTGCCATTTCTGACGAGATTTTGGCTAAGAGGCGCCGATGAAGTTTAGCAGTCTGTAAAAGATTCAAGTTCGATTTTGGTCGTATATTGGACCACTGGCAAGTGCTGTAGTGAGAAGAGCACTCGGAGGACACTCGAACTGAATGGGAAATGAGCTGATAAGGAAACCTTTATATTAAATAGTTGCTGATTAAGTAACTGACGCAAAATAACCTCGGAAACATTAAAATTTAACAAAACGGCCAGGTTAACGACAGATTTGCCAGTCCTCTTGTCAAAATTCTTCGTATGTACGTTGTCAAATTGATCCAAACGCTTCATCTTCAATAAACTGTTTTTCTGTCAGTGTATCGTTTCCGTTTTAATATAATGTTAACATGAACCGTTTTAGCTATACTGTATCAACACCGGATGCTTTTACTGAAAGACGAACAACACTGTACACTGACTCAGCTTTGGCTGGAATCGATGATCTCCAGTCAAATATTCAATTTTAAGAAGAGGCATCGGAAGTAAAAATTCACTGAACAAGAGACTGACAGATATCGGCAATAGCCACGAGTTATTCGGGACGGCGAGACCAGGAACTCAAAGAGTGTGAAGAGACAAAATAAGATGCAAAGAAAACAAACAGCTAAACAAACAAACAACAAACGACAATGAAGAAAGAAAAAACTAGGTGGCGAAGATGATCTGAACATGATTCACTTTTGGCGGATTAAACTTTCGCTGGAGTCCACAATAGCTACTGATTTAGCCAATACAATCGAGACACATGACCCTTGATAAGGCTACATTTGAAGATGTTGTTCGGTCTTATTATATCCTGACTAAGTAAATTTCCGGCTCAAGTAAAATTCGTAACCTATTCGCATTCGTTCGTTTAAAAGCTTGTATCCGTCCTGTCAATATGGGGCTCCGGACGGTAACAAATTAATCGAAATTGTATCAAAATATTGCGCGCCAAGAATGAGGTTTTTTGGATTAGATAGGAAAGTATTAAGAGAGTTATGAACCTAACAGTTGGCAACTTTCCAGATAGTGATGTAGCAGAATATTTTTCTTTTGATTGCATCCGTTTTTTTTTTTTTTCTTTTAGTTGTCACGGGAACAAAATTGTATTTCCGCAACTGCGCATGAAACACCACTATGGTCTAAATTCGTACTTGTAATAAAACTTGATGTTACAATTTTACTATTCTCAGTGTCGCATTCATTTTAACTGCTCTTGAAATTATAAGCTGCCCTCAGTCTTAGCAGCAGAATTTAAGACAATTATACCAAGTGCATGCTGTTTGTGAGATCGCCGCGATCGCGAAAAGCCTAAGCCTAGACAAAAGTATCCCGAAAAATGCTCTAAAAAATTCTCAATTTTTTTCCCTAAAAATTCCTCCAAAAATCTCTGAGTATCCCCAAAAGTTTCTAAAAATCTCTAAATATTCCAAAATTTTCTAAAAATCTCTATTTTCCTCACAATTATTTTTTAATGAAACCTTAGCTCTCCCTTGAAAAGAAAACGGCAAACACATTTTGTACGCTAGATAGCACTTTTGGATCAGTGTTCCATGCCAGGAGTGCAAAACTGCTAGCTCGTGTGTAAATTAAAAAGCTTGAAAACGGAGACAGCATTCACACTCAAGAACGTGTCACGTTGCTTATATCATAGTCCTTGACAAAATTTTCAAAGGAATTTTAAATAAAACGGCAAAGAATATAGAACAATATTTCTTCCAAATCATCTAAAAATCTCCAAAAATCCCATTTTTTTCTAAAAATCCCCAAAATTTCTAAAAATCTCCTGATGCTCTAAAAATCCTAAAAAAAATCCGGCTTTTTTCGTCTAGGCCCAGAAGAGCCGTGTAGGCGCTGCAAAATGATACGTTCTTGTATAAAAAAAGAATGTATGCCTCAGACGAAACTGGAGGAATCTCCAGTGATTTTCTCCAATGTTTAAATGTTGCGTTTAAATTAAGGCCCTGTTTACAAGCAGGTAGGGTAACCCTAATGCTAGGGTTACCCTGGCAGGAGGGTTACCCTAACGCTCCCACATTTCTTCTTTTTTTCATCGACGTGTTTATAAGGCAGCTAGGGTTACCCTAGCACTAGGGTAACCCTAGCTGAGCGCTAGGGTAACCCTAGCTGCCTTGTAAACGCTCTGGTGGGGATAACTCGCCTACCCGGGACAACTTTTTACTTGTTTCCAGACCCTTTGAACATTGATAACGATGTGTGCGGTTACCACGCATAGGTAAGTTGTCCCGGGTGGTAGGGTAACCCTATCTGTGAAATTTTGCTTGTAAACCCGGGCTATCTTTGACCCGCCTGCTAGGGTAACTCTAGCACAAGGGTTACCCTCCTTGCTTGTAAACAGGGCCTAAAATAACTTAGATTGTTCACTGTATTTGCAGAAGAAAAGACAACTTGTTTGTTCATGAAGTCGCTCTGAAACGTCAGCTGTGACTGTTCTCGATTATTGTTATTTCATGTCTTGCGTGATGGCCCCTCTTTGCAAGACTAATAAATGTAGACAAGCTGTTGGTAAACCTTTCGTTGCGCGCGCTTGCTTTGCTGCAAAGAATATGTGATGGATAATAAACACCTTGCCTTTATCTATTCCACGAAGCTCACAGTTTTTATCGAGCCTTACTCGTAGAGGACTATTCGCCTCTCAGAATACTAGATAATGTTGGCGGACAAAAATAAAGGAAGCTGCTCCTATCTGGTGAATTAAACTTTGACACGGGGCAAATTGTTAAATTGTTTTTCTCATTTTTTCTACTTATTTCTTCATATTCTTTTTCAATCTGTTTATTCGTAATTGCATTTATTTGTTCATTCCTTCGAAAAGGCATACGCCTCGAGCAGGAAAAAAAAATGATAATAAACAAGATTGAGAGACCAATCAGAGCGTTAGATTCGAATTTAATTTGATACACTTGCTGGAAAAGCTTAATTAAAGAGGTCCTTTCAGATGAACATGCCACAAACCGATAAAAGATGACCCCAGCCTCTACATGCACAATCAGTTGATATCATGTCTGAACAATAAGAGAACAAGAACCGAACGCACTGCGAGCCACTAGTAAAATATTTTGACATAGCCCAGTGTACTAGTGTCCAGTCGCCCTCTGTAATTTGATCTATAAAGTATTATTTATTGCTTGCCTGCAGTCCTCTCCCATAACATACCCTCCCCATTGTTCCCTCGATATTTCCTTTAAAATGTACAGAGCTATCACTCGAGGGATGATTTGCGCTATCTTACAGGAATATTCAGATCTATCTTTCGCCTCTCTGAGCGCTGCTAGTTTGGGGAGAAACTGAGATTACGTTTGTGGTATGAGTCGAATCGAACAGCAACCGTCCCTGAAAAATTAGACAATGATTAAGTTTGGTAGTTAAGTGCCTTCGAATTACCTCGATTTTCTCCAAAAAATTTAAGGTGGCTGAACACAGTTTTCGCGCGCGCTTTTGCTAATGCAATTCACCGCGCGCGCAATTCAGGGATTGCAAAACTAGAGTGGTCGTTTTATTTACTCAACA